ATTTTCTGTCTCAATGATCTGCAACGTTTGTAAGTGGGGTGCTGATGTCATTTACTAGTGTCGTACTTCTCCCAGTCTGTTTTCTTAGGTGTAGTAGTATTTCTTTTATGAATCTTTGTGCTTCAATATTGAATACATTTATATTTAGGATAGTTAAATCTTCTTGCTGTATGGAATCTTTATAATATAATGCTCTTCTTTGCCTTTTTAAAATATCATTAGTATAAAAGTCTGTTTTATCTGATATAAGAATGGCTAGTCCTGCTTGCTGACATTGATATATCATGTAAATGAAAACAAATCTATAGGTGTCATTAGACCTAATGGTAGGTCTCCTGCAGGTAAAAGCTGTTGGGTCTTGTCCTTTATCAAATTTGCTGCTCTGTTTCTTTTAAGTGGAGGATTTAGGTAATTTATGCTCAAGGTTAACATAGATATGTGAGCTTTTGTTTCTGTCATGGTCTTGTTATCCAGTTACTTTAGAGACTCAATTGTGCAATTACTTTATAGTAATTATGACCTGTGCACTTACAAGTCCTTTTATGATGGTATTATCATATTGTTTTTATATTTAAGATTCCTCTGAGCATTTCCCGAAGGGCTAGTCTAATGGTGACAAATTCCCTTAAAATTTGCTTGTCTGTGAAAGATGATTTCTCCATTTTCTTTCCTTTAAAAAGGCTAAAAATAGGCCCCCAATATCTTCTGACTTTTAGGTTTTCTGCTGTTAAATCTGTTTAGTACAGGATTTTCTTTAGAGGTGATTTGTGCTTCTGTGTAGCTGCTTTTAAAATTTGTTCTTTCTTATTGACCTTGGGTGGTCCGGTGACTATATGCCTTGTTGACATACATTTTGTATGGTATCTTTCAGGTATTCTCTGAATTTTTGAATCTCAATTTCTAAATGTCTATCAGGATAAAGAAAATATTTCTGCATTATTTATTCTACTATGTTTTTCAAACTTCTTACTTCTATTCATCTTCCTTAGAAATGCTTACTACTTGCAGATTTGGTGGCTTTATATAATCCCATATGTCTCAAAGGCTTTGTTCATTTATAACAATTATTTTCTTTTTAAAATTTCTGACTGGATTAATTTGAAAAACTAGTCTTCAAGATACGAAATACTTTCTTCTGCTGGTCTAGTCTACTCTCAAAGTTTTAAACTGTATTTTAAAATTCCTTCAGTGAATTTTTTGTTTTCAAATTTTTGATTTTTTCCCAAAATAGGTATCTCTTTTTTCTTCCCTTGACTGCTTTTGTAGTTTCTTTGTGTTTGTTTTTGACCTTCTCATGGATCTTATTGAGCTTTCTTATAATCCATACTTTGAATTCTATAACTGACATTTCTCAGTTTTATTTTGATTAGAGTCCATTGCTGGAGACTTAGTGTAATTTTTTGATGGTAACAAACATTCAGATTTTTTATGGTGCAAGAATTCTTGTACTGGATTTTTTTCTCATTTGGAGAAGCTGAGAGTTCTTGGTTTTGAATTTACATTCATTCCAATGGAATTCTTTTCTCTATTTTTGCTTTATACCTCCGCCCTTGAGGGTATGATTATAGAGTATCATGAGTACTGTATTTTGGCTTTGCTTCGATAGCCTTATGGCACTTCTGTTGGTAGGTTTTACATTGAGTTGCACAGTTCAATTCACAGGCCAGTAGATGGTACTTATGGGTAAGAGCCAGCTGTGCCAAAGTAGATGGGTATATACTTGATCTTTGTTTACTGTGTGGGGCTTTCTGTTGTTTCAAGTGATGGAATGGACAGTGGAATGATCAGTGCCCTGAGCTTCCTGTTCAGTGTGTGACAGAGACATAGCTGGGTAGAGCTGGAGTAGCTTAATTGCCTGCAAATACCCCAGTGATGAGCACAGGCACCAGCCCAAAGAGAGGTGACTAGAGAAACTTCTGTTGTAAAGCATGAAGGTCTCTGTGGGGGTTAGGAAACTGCACTGGATCAACAACCTGGGTAGTCAGTAACACAATCTGTTTCCCTAATACATCCCTGTCTTGGGCCTTGTGACTCTCAATTCAGATGCACATTGCTGTCTATCTCCAGGTCACAGTGTAGATGAGAGCCATAAAAAAAAAACTACTGTCCCATAGCTCTCTAAGGAAGTGATATTGGGGCTGAACCTCTTCACCCAGTTCAATACAGATAGCTTTGTGGCTCTTCTGTAGTGTGATGTGGTAATGCTGCTTCTTCATGGAGATAACAGGAGGGGCTCCACCTTTCAGCACTTCTGTGTTGGTATCAGCTATATTGGTGTCAGCTGGTTGGGTCAGCCTAGTCTCAGGACCACAGGGAAGTGATCACATGCTAGCATTGTTATACTGGGTTGGGCAATTTTCCAATTTCAAATTTCACATTTCCCAGGCCCCTACATGGCGATGGAATGCATGCATGAGGAAAGAAGACTGATGAGTGGTGATGAAATTACAAGAGAAAGTGAAAGACTGTTCTGTCTTAGAAGTCAGATGAAGAAATTGTTTTAAGAAGAAAAGAGTCAAATGCTATTAATAGGACAAGTAAGATAGAGTTTCAACATTGACCATTGGGATTGACTATTGACCTTTCCAAAGTCAAGAATGTTTTGATAGTACAATGGAGGCAAGAGTCAGAATAGTGTGCATTCAACAAAGTGTAGGATGAGAGTAATTAGATACAGAGTGTAGAACATGTTCAAATAATTGGCTGTAAAGGGGACCAGGCAATTGAGCAACTTCCCAAGAAGAAAACGGAGTAAAATGGGGTTATTTTTGTGATGACAGCAAAAATAGCATGCATGTGTGCTCTTAGGAAGAACTTAGCAGAGATAAGAAAACAATTGGTGATGCAGGAGAGAGAGAATGAGAATTGCTGAAATTATATCCAAATTAGTTTTCTGTTCCTGCTGTAATGAATTACCACAAAATGATGGCTTGAAACACCACAAATTAATTTTCTCAAAGTTCTGGAGACTAGAATTCCAAAATCTGGTTAAATGGGCTAACATCAATGTGTCCACAGGCCTAAACATTTATTTTTCAGAACATATCTCTAATGTTAGTAATACATGACTGCAATTACTTTGTCATTTTTTTATGTCTTTAGCTTTTTGTCCTTCATATCCTCATATCCTCAATTAACAATGTTTTTGTGTATGATTTTTAATAATATTTGTATTCCTTTCTCAATTGCTCTTTCATTTTTTCTATAGTTATTTTCTTTGTAGTTACTCTTGGGATGATATACAGCACCCTATAGTTATAACAATCTACTTTGAAAGCAATGCCAATTTAACTGCAATCCTATACAAAATTTGTTCCACAGCTTCGTTTCCACTTCACATTATTGATTTCATGAATTACAAATTTATACATTGTGCACATGTTAACACAGATTTATGCTTACTTGTACATATTTGTATTTTAAATATTGAAGAAGTGTAGAATATAACCAAACTTTCAAAAATATTTATTTTCACATTTTGCCATATGTATACCTTTACTAAAGGGCTTCATACTTCTATATGGTTTCAGGTTGCTGTCTAAAATTATTTTATTTTAAGCTGAATTAGTCCCTTTACCATTTCTTGCAAAGCAAATATAACGGCAATGGACTCTTGTAGCTTTTATCTCACATTGTCTTAATAACTTTCTAATTTAAAAAAATAATTTTTGCCAAATATAGATCTCTTGGTTGGCAGTTTTATTTTTACCACATTAAATGTATTACCTATTATGTTCTTCAAATTGTCTAATAAAAAAAGTCCATTGATCATCTTGAACAGAATTTATTGTTCTGTACATAATACAAAGTTTTGTTTCTCCTGCTGCTTTTAAGATAGTCGATTTGCTGTTAGCTTTTAGAGTTTTATTTTAATGGATGTGGACCTACATCTCTATCTGAACTCCAATTAAGTTGTTCACATGTTTAGATTCATGTCTGCTGCCAATTTGAGAACTTTTTGATGATTGTTTTCACCACATAATCTCTCCACCCCCATAAGCTCATGTTTCTCCTTCTCAGAATCCAATGCCATGTATACTACTTGGCTTAATGTTGTCCTATAAGCCCTTTAGGGTCTGTTCACATCTCTTTACTCATTTTTTTTTTTTGCCTTAGACTCAAGGATGTAAAATATCTTATCCCTAAACATGTAGATTATGTCTTCATTCTGCTCAAATTGCTGTTGAAATCCTCTAGTGAGTTTTTCAATTCAGTTATACTGTTCAGCTCCAAAATTTGTTTGGTTTATTTTTTGTAATTTCTACATCATTATTGATATACTCATTTTTCCATATATGCTTTTCCCAATTTCCTGTAGTTCTATTTCCATATTTTAATTGGAAATTTTATCATATTTAAGACACTTTTTTAAAAACCTTTCTCTACTAATTTCAGTGCTCTTCAAGAATAATTTCTGTTAATTCATTTTCTTTCTTATAATGGATTGTGTTTTCCAGCTTCTTTGTATACCTTGTTATTTCATTTAATTGCGCGTTTCAAAAAATAGACATTTTTCCCACTCTATATAGATTTGTTCTGTGTCATGATGATTATCAAATAGTATGCTTGGTATGTTCTTAGTCTTAGCATAAGCCCAACATAAAACCCTAAGGCCTTGTCTGCTCTTTTCTGAACATGTATCTGCCTGGACTGTGTGTGCCCTTTATTAGCTCCCCAAATACCTACTGGCTTTTGAATAGCTTACTGTTTCAAAAATTCACACCCCAGCTTCCCCTCAATGGGTTAGATGGACTATTCCACGTCTCTTCACCTAATCTCTTGCCCTTGGCATCAAACTACATTTCTACTCAGCCCCCCCATAAATAAATAAGTTTATTTTAGTCAATTTCAGATTACTTCTTGATGCATCCATGAGACAAGTAGGGGCCTTTTGATCTACCATGTTGCTGAAAAGCTTTCAATGATTTTATATTATATTGTATCAATGTATAATCATTTACCTATTTCTCAACTTACTTTTTGGTTATTGTTTGAGGAAAAGTAAATAGAAGCAATCAGGGCATTGAAAGTTCTGACAGCTCCAAGATGTTGATAATGTATTGTGCAAACTACATTCGTCATGTTCTAATCTGCCCTCCAAAGGAAGGAACAAGTGAAAACTATCCCATATGAAAATTATTCATGCATTTATATATAATTAATTTCCAGTTTTTCTTTACAAATAATGTTTAACAAGATGGAAAATTATGTAAAATAGTTATCAGTTTTTTGGCTAGTTACTTCATGATAGTCTCTAATAAACCTGGTTGAAGAACAAATACTATTAAGGCACTGGTTGCATATATTAAATGATGTCCAAACTCCAAAAACTGTTAATAATTAACACTCCAAGAAAAACTGCATAGAATTTCTTTTTTATTTGCACCCTCATCAGGATTACAGCTTTATCAGGACTGCACCTTTATCAGAAATGAATCTTTCTCTTACAATGCAAAGAAAGAAAAATCAAAATAAATTTTCTGATTGAAAATGTAAAAAGGGAAATATTTTTACAGTTTTAACTTTAAGTTTTTATTGAGGGCCAACAATTTTTAAAATTTTCATTAGTCATTCCTTTAAATTATGTGTATGTGAGAGAAAGATGTAAGATGGTTAATTATTTCAAATGATGCAATATAAAGAAGGGGCATTATCATGGCATAAACAAAAAAAGTATTTGTAGCTGGAGGTTTTTATAGTCTAACATATGGTTGCTATTTGTTCTATAAATATTTTTTAATAATTTAAGTAATATAGAGATTTCAAATAGAAAATACTTCAGATAAAAATTAATGTTTAATACCATATATTATAATAATTTACTTAGGAATTATCTTTGATAAGAAACAAGTGAACTGGATGAAATTTTCTCCACAGACCGTATAAGACTGCCTATGTACCTCCTCCTACATGTCATTGGTTAACCATTAGTCCGTTTGCAGGGGGCCATTTCCTGCTCATTGCTTTTGTAATCTCTGAGGGGAAGAAGCAGCAAACATTTGCTAGTCAGACAAGTGACAGGAAATGGATTCCAAACACCAGCGTGTGAAGCTAAATGATGGCCACTTCATGCCTGTATTGGGATTTGGCACCTATGCACCTCCAGAGGTAAGAATAATTTCTTTTAGTTTTGAGATTTCAAAAGAATAAACCTAGTAGACATGAAACCCATCTTGGGTTGTAAGGTTCGTGTTCCTGCCTTACTTTGAATGACTCACAGGTCTAGGTTTCCTAGGCTAGAAGAAAACAAGTAGTCAATCCTTGTTCGGCACTGAGGTCCGTTCCTATGGTCACGTACTGCTTATTTTTAGTTTGTGCACTGTTTCTTCTGTTCGTGTCTACTTCCCAGCTTGGCAGAATATGTCAAACTCAGCATCGAAGAACAGTGTCCGTCAGCTCCCTCTGGTGGAAATTAATTGCAATAGGAGTGATTTCTCTGTTTTTATAACTGAAGAAATCTTTCCTTCTTCCAAGAACATACGATCCAGAGAAATATTTATAGTAAAAATTACTGGATATAGTGTTTACAAAACTGTTGGCAGAGTATCATTATTCCGATGGGCGTTAGTGAGCACCACCCAGTATTACTGGGCCTGGACTAGAGTTTCCACTGTACTACTTTCACTTTAAAAAAAAACTTCCTGAAAGAAAAAATACAACCTCATTTTAAGTAAAATTTAGAACCTAACAAAGGAAAGTCTAAATTCTTAGTCCTTTTTTGTATGCATCATATTTGTATCAAAGTGGTAGGAGCGGTCTTATGACACAAAAATGAACAAAATGGATACCTAATTTTCGAGATAGAACTACTGGAAGAAAACTTGTATCCCAAGACTGTCCTCAGGCTACTAAATGTGTGATAGGGACTAATTATCGAAATTTAAGTCTCACTTTATCAATAAGTTGTAATGATCTACAAGGATACATTTGCTAGACCATTGACAAAAATGGTTTAATTTTTAATATAAATTGGCATGGTCTGGAAGTGAAAATAAGGACACCACTGAAGCGGCAGCCTTGGTAAACCTTTGAGTTAGTATCTAGTTCCTTGTAATTTCAACGAAAAAAGAAAGCTTCTTAAATACATGTAAAAATGGAAAACAGTTTATATTTTTGTCATTAAAAAATACCCTTCAAATCTTTATCCAAATTTGGTCAATAAGTCAGTAATTTTAAATTTCACTGGAATTCTATCTTTCCTGAAAGAAATAGCCTTATTTTTTTATGGCAGAAAGGTACCTTACTAAATTCTTACAGATTTCGGTGAATTTTTAATGTATAAACCGATATCCTCAGAGTATAAGTGTTCAGTTCTGTTGTGTAGCCAGAATGGCTGTGCAGAAAAGACTTAACATAATAGACTACTATTCACAGATGCATTATTTCCCATGTGAACCCTAGTCGGGTCGGTGTAACTAGCATCCAGTCAAAATCTCAAGAACTGAGACACCAAATAACATCTCTTGTAGACAGCATTTCCCAAATATGATGTTGGAGGAAGTCTGAGTGAACGTTCTGTGTAATATCACTGGGAGAGAACTCATATGAGCTTGAACTATTTCCCTTCCATACTCTGTGTGATTTTTACCATGTATAATATCACTATATTAAAAAATAATTAGGACTATTTGAGTCCTGTTAACTTTTCCAACAAATCACTGAATCTGAGGATGTTGTTTGGTACCTCCATAATAGTGATCAACCAGAGATTTCCTGGGACTGAAGGTGTTTCTGGGATGCTCAACCTTTATTACTAACCAGGAAAGACTCAGGCAAACTGAGATGGGATTTTCACCCAACATACAGACAGGAGGAAAAGCTGATTCTTGTAAAAGTCAATGCTTGTGCCTGAACTACCTCTCAGCCACACTGATCACCAGATACTACCTTTGGTTGCTTCTCCAGGTTCCCAGAAGTAAAGCTTTGGAGGTCACAAAATTGGCAATAGAAGCTGGGTTCCGCCATATAGATTCTGCTCATTTGTACAATAATGAGGAGCAGGTTGGACTGGCCATCCGAAGCAAGATTGCAGATGGTACTGTGAAGAGAGAAGACATATTCTACACTTCAAAGGTACTGTGCCTATGATGAGCTTGTGTGCACATGTATTTAATGTGATTATGTGAAGATGACAATTCTATGACTGGATCAGTAGTTGCAGGTGAATTTTGCTTCTGGGTTCAAATGTATTCACACACATTCACATATTAAAACCGAAATCAAACTCAGGGAATGATGATCACTTTTCATTTTGACTGCATTCCAATTTATGACCTGAAAGTCCCTTTACTTTTTTGAGCTCCAGCTGCCATCAGTGTGATTTGACATGCGGTATAGAATCACAGAGAACGATAATCATGCTATGGTTTTTCTTATCCCCTGGGTAATTTTCTAAGATTTCTTATTATTCTCTCAACTGCTATCTTTATCAGTGAGATAGAAAGCAAAATAAGAATGCTGTGGGAGTATTAAATAATAGATACTGAAATTGTCCTAAATTGTGTCCAGCATAGTGAACATGTTCAAAACTTGTTTTACCCCCATTTTAGGTTGCTTTAGTTTCTAAGCAACATAAATAGCTATTCTTAAGCATTGGGTTGAATGGATAGAAGAATTAGACTGTTAAAATGAGTTGTAAACTCTACCGAAGATAATTCAGGTAACAGCATGGTTGTTACTTGATACTAATTTTTACATTTTAAGAATTTACTCCTATTATTCAGTAGATGTACAAACTATACATCCAACATATAATAAAGTTCATAAGAATAGATCAGAGCCAAAGGAATCATGAGAAGGAAGAGAATATGTTTGCCAGTGGTCATAAATTTTGAAGCAGTAGGAAAATGTCTAATTATTAGATGGCACAAACTAATAAGATTTGTTCAATATTCATTCAAAATCACCTCCATTCTTTAACCTCTGCAGCTTTGGTCCACTTTTCATCGACCAGAGTTGGTCCGACCAGCCTTGGAAAACTCGCTGAAAAAAGCTCAATTGGACTATGTTGACCTCTATCTCATTCATTCTCCAGTGTCTCTAAAGGTATACAGTTTGAGTATGAGCATAAAATTGCACTTCTGCTGTCATTATAAACATTGTTTATATGGATAGTTGAACAGAGCTTTTTCTTAGGAGGATGTAGGGATTATTACATGGAAGAAGAACCGTAAGTATAACACCTAATTTCCTTTCTTTTGAGTAAATTTTGAATCCTACTTCTCTAATGCACACCTACAAGAGAAGAGAGAACAGCAACCTCAAAGCCTCTTCTTCGAAAACTTGAGGAAATTACAATAGTCTTTTTCAAGGCACTGTCTTAGTTATGGCTTTTGAGTCCATCTCTTGGGATGTCACAGACACAGAGTTTCATGCGTTGTGATGCCCAACAAAACTGCTGCACATGTGGTACACAATGAGTTTCCACCATCTCTCCCCATTTCAAGCTGAAGCAGATTTGGCAGAAGCCACTATGCATGGTTCTTAAATTAGAAACCCTTAATGTGGACTTGCAAAGCTTTATTATTCTGCTGCCTCTTCTTTCACAATAGAGTTTGAAGCTGTATTTAGCCATGAATTACTGTGTAGTGTATAACTTTTGATTTAAAGTTACAGGAAACTACTGAGGCTAGTTAATGCGAAAGAGTTTACTGAGTTATGTAAAATGGGAAGTCAAAGACATGGCTACATTTAAGGATATGAAATAGTCTACAAAAATGTATCATTTGTCTATTCTTACCTCTAAACTCCAACACTTTTTTTTTATTATTGTTGACCCAAACTTTTTCATTGGTGGCGATTATGGCTTTGGAGCGGTTCAAGGCTCATGGTCATCACCCTAAGAGAGCTCCTCTGGGTCTCCCAACTTCTGCTGACCCTGTGTGATTCACAGTCCTGCCCATAGACTATCAAATCTTCAGTTGATCTGATAATCCCACCAGGTACAAAAGTACTATCCACTATTTTTGGATATCAAGGTATTTCCAAATCAAAGAGAGGTACTTCAACCGAGGAAATTATAAAGGCAGAATAAAATGACATAAGTCAACTATGAAACTTGATTAAGATGTAGAAAATGGTCCTTTTCCATACATAAAACATTTGTAAGAGATTAGAGGAAGCTTGTCTCCTGAATA